AAACTGTAGCCTGGAGTTTTATTGTAATCCTAATTCTAGTCTTATGCTGTTATATTTTCAGCGTACTTAAGTAGGCCAGGGTGGAGAGATCTGCTGTATGTGCTGCCAGCACACTGCAGTGTCCTCAGAGGGAACTCTGTACGGACCAGAAAGCAGCGTTATAGGAAGAACAAGGCCTCGGTGGTGGCCGCAGCTGTCCGTGTGTGTGTTCCCAAAGAAGTATAATCCCAGACTCGGCGCTTAACCCGGGGCTCAGGAAATAACAGAGGTTTAGCGAAGCAAATTCATTTGAATGATCACAAAGGGGACAAAAGAGAAAAGTGCAATTCATTCTGTGAGAACTCCAGTCAGTGTATTATATCGAATGCATTTTTTTTTTAAGCACCTAAGCAACAAAGCTTCGGTCTGCTGTCTGTGGTAGGCTGATTTGTCTATGGCTGGAACATGGAATTAGAGAGACCTGATTTGTCAAGCTAGCTTTTAACAGACTTCTTGGTCATGCAGATGTCTCGCTGGGTTTCTTATTACATGTGCCTGACCTCAGAGTTGAGAATCAGGGAGTTCGCTTGTTAGATACATCCTTGGTGTTCAAAATAAATCCACCCAAGCGTGACTGAAGTTGACACAAAGAAACCACCAGAGATCTACATGTGTCATATGACAATGCTGGAGATCTGCTTGTTGAGCACATTCACCATGAAACAGCATATTGTAATACCACAACAGTTACAAAAGACCGTTGTGTAATGTAGCAAAGTCTGATCACCAGCCTGATCACATTTACACCTCAGTTTCAAGTTGAAAGCATAACCTGTTTTTTTAGTGCATATAAACATATATCCAAGTCATTTTTATCTGTAACATGCAACTTCTTTTGGTGCTATGCAACTGGAAACTGAATTTCCCGGAGGAACCCACCCGAGGGATTAATAAAGTTTCATCTAATCTAATCTTTTTCCGAACCTGATCTAAATCTAAACTGTAACTCAAATGTAATCTGCACTTTTCTCCTTAAGAAAAAGAAATTGCAACATAGCAAATCAGGTCCTCTACTCCAGAAGAGTGAATTCTTGTTTGGAAATAATGGAAATAATCATGAAGATAAACAAAATCAGCTCCATTGTATCTGCCCCGTGGATAAGCAGCACTACACCAAGGCCACCCACAGCAGAGCTGATGCAGTTTCCCATGTAACTGGCCTGATGAAATATTCAGCGAAGAACAGCTCAGACACCTAAAGGCCAGCAGGCTTCGGTTACGGCCAAATCAGTCCAGGCGAGGCCAGGGGCCAAGCGGCACGCCGCCAAGGTTGCCGTTTTTTATCTCCTCGCCGTACATGAGAACAAACACAAACGAAGGTGTGCATTTATTTTTAATGACGTACATTAATTAATAACCCAGACCTGACCCCATTTGTACTGCTGGATTCCCTGAGTGGGTGGAGCGGAGCAGAAATAAAGAAGATCTAAAGCCGTTTTCCTCCGCTGAGAGTGCTGTATATTGATGGCGACAATGTGAGAGAGAGGGGGAGGGGGGGCTGATAAAGCAGCCAGCAGAAGGGAAGAGAGAATTTAGGATTATCATACTGAATACAAGAGGGGGTTGGAAAGAGGATACAGACTTTGAGTAAGTCCTGTATCTGAAACCGAACGGGACATTTCCCTGAAGTGAGGGGGATGGGTGCTCATGCCCAAAACCCAAGCTCTGACTCCACAGTTCACACAAGCTTTTTAACCTCCACACTCTCCCACTACATGTCAGCTCCTGCCAGCACTCTGTCACCCTCTCTCTCTCAAACACACACACACACACAGTTAAAGTCGCCATGAACATCAAAAAAAAGCCTCATTCCCACAAGCGTGGTATCGACTGAGGTCCCTGCTAGCAGATGCGTGGTAGAAAAAGCATGTCTGGACTGAGACTTGCCCATTAGGTTACGACTGTTTAGGTGCAGCGCTGCCGAGATCCCCTCAACCAGTCCTCTGTTGTGATGGCAGTTTTTTCCGGGTGTGTTAGATGGGTCAAAACAGCAGATCACGAGTCAAAAACACCAAACAATCAAATGACTTTAAAGGCACTTAAAGGATAAACATACAAGGTATGAATGATCACAATGCTGGACTATAAAACAGCTTAAAAAGGATCACGGTTCTTAATTAAAAAAAATCTTTCTTTAAATATAAACATTTTTTACAGCAGTCCTATAAAATTTTTTATATCTCATATTTTTATTTTTAAAAAATCCCACAAATTTTGTTTTTGTTTTTTTTCCCTGTAAATGCTTGTTAGGATCAGTCCTCATCTCCTCAAAGACATCCATATTCTTCCTTTTCACCCTCTCAGGAATAAAACAGCCTTCCCTTCACTGAACTCTGATGCCTGCTGAGCTTGGCGATTTGGGACGGTGACGGGGGCACGTCCTGTCTGTAGGGCCCCTTGGGTTTCGAGAGGGCCCGAGCTATGGCAGAGCCAGTGGCTTGAGTGCTGTCTCTGTTCTGGTCAAAGGTGATGCCGCTGGGGATTTCCTGTGCAGGAGGCGGCCTGGTTTTGCTGGCCTCCTGCTCTCGACGCCTTTCCTCCTGCCTCAGCAACTCCTGGGTCTCGAGGAAGACGCGGGCGTTAATACTGGGTGTTCCCAGGTAGCCGTTACGTGACCCCTGGCCCCCGGAGTAGCGAGGATTTTCCTTGGATGGCTGAAATCCCTCTGCTGGCACGTACATCTTGTCCCACGAGTCCTGGGACGCCGCACTGTTGTTCTTGCGAGGTTGTCTAAACACACAGAAATAGGTAGGAGGGTCAATTGCACTGTTTTCTCAGTCACCTTAAGCAGCAATTAAATCTAAAGCGAACAGAGGTGGATTTTATTTGATTCTGTTTTAAAAAAAAGCCCCCTGGGTGAGCAGTATTCAAGGGGAATTCAAAAGGAACTGCACTTCAGCGGAGAA